CGCGGGGGAGGTCAAGTGTTCTCCCCCTCCTATGCATTACCCTGTTTCCAGCTCACAGTGGGCCTCTGCCTGTCCTCAGACCCTAACTCCCACAATGTACCAGATCTGGGTGCTAGAATCTGTCACAGCCCCTCTTCCCCCTATGGCCACTTATTTATGGAGCCTCCTGGGGATAGAGCTGCCCTTCTACCCCCGCCCCCCAGGCCGGTCCTTACCCTCATGCATTCCCATAGGTGGCTGCTGTTCCCTCAAGTGTAGAGGGCATCCATGCTCTGGGTACTTGGAACCTGGTGATTTCTGATGTGTCTGTCCAGCATTATGTCTGTGCCCCGAATCAATCAGCACAAGAGCATAAGAGCACAGGGCACTCTCCACACGCAGGGGAGCCTCCTGGGGTTGGCAGGAAGGGCTCCGCAGCACTGTAGCTCCCCATGTCAGGAGAAGGTCCAGGAGACAGGCTGCTGCAGAGTGCCTTCCTCTCTTCCTTGCCTGCTTAGCTCTCCCAGTTTGTCTAGTGGTCACAGTCCCTGTCCAAGATCCCTGTGGGACTCAGGAGCTCACTGACCCTAGACTGGAAAGGTGCTATTCTGGGAGTAAGATCAAACTAATTCACAACAGGTACCCATCTCACACTGCTACAGTGTGTGCTCTGTAGGTATGTACCTTACCATCATACAACACTTAGCCTCAGTCTAGACACACAGGCGCACATCCCCTTTTCTCACAAGCGCCTGCCCCCTCCACCCAGCTGTGGCTAGGCCCTGCCTGTTGTTACTGCTCCACATATTGATGTGTTCTTTCTCTGATCAGGTCTCAGCCTCATCCTTTAGGGCACTCCTTCAGGCTGTGTTTCTTTAGCTCTGTAAGAGTGGGTGTATCTGTTGAAGATGAGGCTGTTTACCAATGTGTGGCAGAAAACAGCATGGATTCCAATCAGTGCCCAAATGGATATGATAGGGACCGCAGAGCTATGTCCAACTCCCAGGAGGCTGCGAGGTACGAGGTACGCCTCTGTTCATCTCTGCTGGTGTCTTAGGAGCTACCCTCACTGGTGGGCATGCCATTGTTTCACCTTTGGCCAGTGCAAGGTGGGTGTGGATGTGTGGGTGAGCAAGGCCTTCAGTCACAGATTGGGTATAAGTGCCAAGAGCGAGTACTTGCTCTAGCCCAATTCTGTCCAAATGGTGTATTCTGGAAAAGGCATTCTTTTGGACTCAGTGATCCCCAAAAATAGGCTTCTGGGACTGGGTTCTGAGAGTGTGCTTCTGAACACACTCTCAGGCTTCCTCACTGCTCCTCAGTCTGGCAGACCAGTTGGTATCTCCTTAGCCCAGCTCCTCTGCTCTGCCTTGGCGGCCCGGAAGGACCAGCCAGGATTCTGGAGGGGTGTAGATTCCCTTATGGGGCTGGAGGCACGTGGCTGGAGAGAGGATACCGAGATGCCAAGCTGGTCTCCACCAGGCTGTGAGGAAAGGCACACGTGAGAAAGTATTTAACCTGGAGGCTGCCACAGCCTACACCCCAATTGAAGGGTTCATTCAGCCAAAGGTGTCAGCCAGGGCTCTGGCCCTGTGCTGCCATCATCGGTGGTGGTGCGATACTGCTTCGGTGCTGAGACCCTAACTCCATGCACGCAGGGGTTGTCATCTACATTGTTTTTCTCTGTGATCCTGCTACAGCATGTGCCACACCACCTCTGCCATAGGCGTTCTGAGAGCTGTCACCCTGGCTGGGGTTTTGCAGCAACTTGACATAAGATGTAGTCATTAGCAAGGAGGGAACCTCAGTTGAGAAAACCTTTCAGTAAGATTGGGCAGCGCTGCCACAGCGACTGAGGGCCAGGTGGTCCTGGCTTCTCTTAAGAAAGCAGCTTGAGCCCTGGCGTGGTGGCATACACCTCCAATCTCAGCACGCAGGAGGCAAGTGGATCTCTGAATTGGAGGCTAGCCTGGTCTACAGAGCGAGTTCCGGGACAGACAGGGCTACACAGAAAAACCCTACTTTAAGATCAAAATTTTATATGAATGTTCTGGTTGCATGTGTACTTGTGCTGTAAGCATGCCTGGTGCTCTTGCAAGTTCACATGGATGCTGAGACTTGAACCCAAGTCCTCTACAGGAGCAGCAAGTGATCTTGACCACAGGCCATTTATCCAACCCCTTGATTTCTGTTTCTAAAGGGAATAGTTTGATTGACAGTTTCAGTCCTACCTGGAGCCCTTTGTTAGAATAATCAGAAGCTTTAGGCACCTCACAGTTCAAGTATCTTTTTCAGACTCTGGCTTTGTAAAAGCAAAACCCCAACAGCTACCCCAGCCAGCATTTCCCTCTGTCCTACAGCGTAACCCCAAAGGGAAGGTCCTGGGAAGGAAAGCCCATGCTTAGGGAACCACAAATACTGTCTCTTCTGTGCTCACGTAGGATCTGTAACATGGTTCCAGGAAGGCTGGGCTCTAATTCCCCATCAGCTCCTCTGAGGGTATAAAATGTGGCAGAGGATTAGGGGCTGGACACAGTCATGACTTTCCAGTATTGTAGAAAATGAACCCTCTTCTTGGGTTGGTAGTCAACTAGAATGTTGTTAGAAATAAAAATATAAAATATGGGAGCCAAATTGATTGATGCTTTGTGTTGAAAGGCAAAGCCGAGGGAGAGGTGACACAGCGATGCAACAATCCTAGGCCTTTCTGGGGAAGACGCATTGAGAATGTTAAGGTTTGGTCTGTGTGGATCTCTAATGCTACAAGATCCCTAGTCAGACAAACCAGCTTCTAACAATTACACTATTAAACTAGTACAGGTGTGTGAGGGTGGGTGGGTGAGGCCAGTCAGGGTACACATACCAAGCCTGACTCCTGCTCCTAAGACCTTTGGACAAAAGTAGGATTTTTGGAGGCAGGTGTGGTGGCATGCCTGTAATTCCAACACTCTGCAAGTCTGAGGCCAGCCTGGTCTACAAAGGGAGTCTAGGACAGCCAAGGCTACACAGAGAAACCCTGTCTTGAAAAACAAACAACCAAACAAACAAAAAAAGTAGGATTTTGAAGTGGGGTCACTGGAGGTGAAGAGGAACAACAGTAAAGATATAAAAGGAAAACCAAAACAAAAAACCCACAAGCCACAGCTCATCCATTAACACTCCTCAGATTCTCCCACCAAATCATTCCCACTCCCACCCCAGCCACAACTAAAGCACCAGCCACAGGAAAGCTTAGAAACCATTCCTTTCTTTATTAAACATAGCTTGCAAGTGATAAATATTACAAAGTTTTTCTTTTAATCCTTTCTCCAAAAATTAGCTTATTATTTGAATCTTCACTGCTGTAATGCTCAGCAGCCTCTGAAACAGATGGGAGTGTATTTACCTTTTGAAAACCAGTACCTATTGGTCTTAGTTTTTTTGTTTTTTTTTTCATTTTATTTCCCAAACACAATGCAGAAAATTAGAATGAGTTAAAAAAAAAAAAAAGAAAAAAGAAAAAAGGAAACTTAAAACAGAGTTGTGCAAAAGGGTCTTGTTCCCCTCCCACCCACCCTATTAAGGGAAGGAAGGCCATTGCCCATCCCACCTCCCTGTTCCCCACCACCCATTCCAATCTATCCTCCACCTTCACCAAGGCCTCACCCATCAACCTATGTTTTCTCCAGTCTTTAGCATCAATAACTTAAGAGAGTAGAAATACTCATCCCAGGAAACGGGGGAATAAGTTGGGCCTCTGAAGGAGACAGACTGTGAAACAGTTGCCTTTCAGGTGTCAGATGAGATCTGAGGGAAAGAAAGATATGGGCTACATCTAGCTCTTCTTGTCACTAAGATGAGGGAAATGCCACATCCTATAGCTCACAAAGACAGCAACTACTTTACCAACCTGGGGGCGCTCACTGGTTAAACACCCTTAAGGACTGCGATTGTGAGGTGAGGCAAGGCTTGGAGCCTGGTCCCTGTCATGACATGGCTAGAAACAAAAGGGCCAAGGTGCCACTGGCCCGACACCCTACACATCACTGCCACCTTCTCCAAGATCAGTGTTGAGGCAGGGGACTGGCAACTTTCAAAGCACTGTGATACAAGTAACACTAACAACATCACCTTTATTTTCTCCCTGGTCTTCCAGGCCAGCACTTCCCTCACCTCAAGATGCCTTTTGATTTTTGGCAGATGGGGAAAGAATCGTGGAATTTGAAGTGTGGAGGCCAGTGGTTTCCTCCCTCCCTTCACTGGCTGAAGACACTGAGCTCCACAGATCACACAGCAAGTCAGTAGGCCCTAGGTATCCACACTGTGTCTCCCTGTGTTCTGGATTCTTACTTTGTACAATCCTGAACCTAGAGCCCTGTAATCCACAGGAGCCAGCCTCACCTCAGTCACACAGCCTGGAATGGTTTGGGCAGAACACCCTCAGGACAATTAAAATCCTTTTTTCTACTACTATCATCTCCTGACAATCTACCCTTTCAGAGGTCCATGAGGTTCTTTTTCTGAAGGGCGGGGGAAATCCCTTGCATAAGAAAGCTTTGACACTGGATTTTGTTATATAGGTATATTGTATATATGCTGATGCAATCAGAGGGGAAAACAGTGCAAATACAATTACAATTCATAATAATACTTGGTTTCGATGCCCCCAGGGACTGCCCACTCCTCGGCTACCTCCCAACCTCCAGCACTTCCCCACAGTGTCAACCTAATGCTGGGGGTTAGGAAGGGTGGGCAGGTTAGGGTAGGGAGTGGGCTCTGCCAAGGCAGTGCTGGTGACCTGGAGGGATTACTCCAGGGTGGGGAGGGCAAGGCACAAATTAGGGGTGGGTGGTGGGGGAGGTGGCATCTTTAAGGAAGAATGAGGTTGGAGCAGCTGCCAGTCTCAGTGTGCTGGGCCCGGCCCACTCCTCCCCACCTCCACAGCACTGCCTCCCTCCACCCTCCCCTTCCCCAGAAACCCTTTTGCACGGATCATACACAAACGGGCACATTACAAAATGACATAACACAGTTTCACAATATCCATGGCTAGGGCTTTTTTTTTTCCCTCTTTTTTCAGGTTTTTTTTTTTTTTCTACACAATGTACAATTCCTTTTAAATGGATCAAGAAATAGCTTATATACATGAATGAGTCCTTGTTATAACATCTCGGCAGCAAATATCATAAGCTAATGAAGACCTTGATGAAAAGGGAGCCTAGGGTAAGTAGGGTAGGGCTGTGGAGAGAAGGGTTATGCCTTCTAGAAAAAAGGGAGAAATAGGAATGGTTTGGGAAAAAGGAACAAAAGTAAAATATCAAGAAGCATCTTTACAAAGCAGTTCTATAGCTAATTCCTTTTAAAGGGGCAAGGAAAGGTAACCAAGGCAGGAAAACATTTATCTTGGTGTCTTTAAAAAGAAATGTCTACCATACATATATCCCAAAATGCAGGAAAAATACTTATTCAGCAATGGAGGGAGTTCAGATGCTGTGGTGAAGTGACAAAATAAAACTGACAAATAAGGACCGCTGTCTCCTAATTTTACCCCAGCCTTGCCACTAATCTACCCATCTCAGGTCTCTGTGGAGTAAGACACAATCCATGAGTGACTGCTTGTTAGTGCCCCAGGGTCTAGAGGAAGCCAGACTGTCCTGGTTAGATCTCCACTCTACCGACACCTGAGAGTCCAAGTCCAATGGTAAAGGACCACTCAACTGTGGTCCTTAGGGCATGAGGGTTAGTGTCTAAAGGGGCCCATGGCCTGAGGAGAGTTGAAAAGAAGGTTTGGAAGGAAACAAGGCAATCAGTCATGTAAAATATAGAGGCTTGAAGAAAGGGGAACAGGGGCAGGAGCTAAGGGAGGAGATGAAGGCTAATACTTTACCATGATTAAGAAAGATTTCACCCCCTCACTAATTCCTGGGAAGAGTAAGATAATGGGGAAAGAGAGGATGAGAAATCAAACCTCAGCGACTGAGCAAAGGGCCACAGAGCTATACTAGTACTTTAAGCAGCTTCTATGTAATTAACCCTGAAGGGATAAAGACAGGGAAAATTCTACCTCTTCCCTATGGCCTCAGCACCTAAACAGGCACTGACTATGGGCTCTCCTTCCCCACCATTCCCCATTTCTATACATCTTCCTTCTAAACCCTATTTAAAGTGGCCTGGCTCCCAGGGAGAGGACCTAGCTCAGGGCAGGGACAAGCCCCAGTTGGACGGTATTGCACATTCTCTGTTCCTTTTAATCTCAACTGACAAACTTGGGCACCTTGTACCTCTGAGCACCTCTGAGTTGGGGGTCAGGGAGACTTAACAGAAATGGCACTTCATCACGGGATAGGGAGAGGTTAGACAGACATGCCACAAGGCAAGATGACTGGTAAGAAAAACATTTTAAAAATGGAGGAAAACATCTTCCAATTTTGTGGAAGAGAAAAACAAAATCAATTTATCCAGTGCTTTCAAAGCACAGAGGGCAAAGAAAAGATGTAAGAATATATCTTTATTTATTTATATATATATATATAATTTTAAAATAATCCCAGACCCAGCTCCATTAGCCCCCCTCCCTCCCCCACCACTTACAGTCAGGGGCACCACATTCCCCAGAAAAATACTTGAAATGACCCTCTCAAACTACTTGTTACTAGCATCTAGCTTCCAGGTCACTTCACCACTTGGGGAGCCCAGACACAGCTGCATCTCTGCTCCTTTATTAAGTGCTCAATGAATCTGAGGGAAAGGGAGAAAAGAAAAAAGCCAAGAAGGCCCGTAGGGCCAGTATAATCACCCACAGTGGCACTGGAGTATTGGGAAAAGAGACCAGAGTGGGGAATTGAGCTTGATTTAGCTTCTTTTCCCACCCTACCCCCAAATTTTATGGGAAAGGTGTGGTTTGTGTGTATGTATAATTTTAAAAGTGCCTTCTTACTTTAAAAAAATTACTTAGTTTTTAAAAATAAGAATGAGGGAATTTCCTCAGGTGGTTATCAAGGGCAAAACAATACACAACTCCTCACACGTCTTTGCTCAAAGTGTCCCCAGTACACTCTGTCGGCTTCTAGAGCTGTAGAGGCGGGTGCATGTCCACTCTGAGGAATGCAGAAACCCTTCCTTTTCAGGCTTCCCTTACCTCAAAAACAGCTTGGTCCCCTCCTCCTTGCCACAATATGGGCAAACAGGATGCTAATCTCCCTAACCCCAGAACAGCAACATTGCACAATTCAATTCAGTTTCTACATTAGTAGCTCCTAAGAAAAAGAATAAAACAAAATGGCAAAATGAATAAAATCTGGGGGAGAGGAGCTTGGGGGAAGACAATACTTGTATAGCTGAGGTCCAAAGCTGGTTTGACAAGCTGCTTGGCTCTGAGGAGTTGGATCTACAGCCAGTGTGGCAGAGTCAGAGTGGGACAAACCTCATCAGGGGCCTACACCCATATCTCTTAGCACTCAGAGGGTACAGGGAGAGAAAAATGCAGGGATCTCAACTCCTGAGAAACCTCTTCTTCTTCTATGTCTAGTTTCTCCTTTCATGTGATTCACCTATACCCACTCCAACTTCTAGGATACCCAGCCACCTGCAGCCTGGAAGCAGCCATTCCTCTGGGATTACGGTGAGAAAGAAGATTAACATTTGTAAAGGTATGATATGTAATGGGAGACAGTTTTACAAAGAAAGTAAGATAAACAATGTCAAGATGGTTGGCCTGGAACAGACTTTTGTGTCCTCACTGGAGTCAGGAGACCAATTTTACATCCCCAGCAACTAGAAGGCCAGGACCTGGTCACAGTCCTCTTTGGGACACTATTAAACTTACATCACACCTTTTCCCCTGTCTCCTGTGGTTAAACTACAGGTAGTTTTTTCTAAGTTTCTCCCTCCAGGCTTTTACTCATTCTTAAAGAATTCAACTTCATTACTAAAACATTGCCTCCCAAACTGTCCAGACCCTGACCAACCATAGCTGGGATGCTATTCCTACTTACTTGATGATATCCACTCCACAACTCAAGGTTAAGTGCATTCAAAATCTCTGTCCCTAACATTCTGTTATTTCCTACTTGGAAGCTGAGGATCCACTGCAATCTGCATGCGATCACTGAACTGTATATCATATATATGTATATATATGCATATATATATATATATATGTATATATATACATACATACATACATATATTTAAAAAAGAGGGAGGATTAGCAGAGGGAGGTAGGAAAGAAATCAGAAGATGGGGGGGAGTTAACCGTCCACAGAACAAAGGGAAGACATACAATATAATTAAAAATGATAATAATTACAGCATAAAACAAACTTTAGAAACACACATCAAAGGGCTTAAATTCTCCCCAGGACCTCATTCTGACCTCTATCAGAGGCAAAGATCCACCTCACTGTTAAAGGAAATTGAAGAGAGAAGACAGAGCAGCAGGAAAACAGATCGCAGCAGTATGAAATAAAGGGGAGTTGGCGGGGTGGGGGCATGTGTTTTCTTGTTGATGTCTATTTCGTCTTCTGTTTTTTTCAGTTTTGCTTTCCGTGTATGGTAGGCACCAGTACAGGCACTGCATGCGACGGAAGTTGGGGGCAATGGGAGAAGTGGGTAAAGGATTCAAGGGTGGGCAGCACAAGTGGAACAGCCGTTATTTCTGCCCACTGATGGACTGCGATATAGACCTGGGAGGGATCATGTCTAAAAGGTATTCGCGCTGTCGGTCTGCCAAACTTGGAGCTTTATGTCCTCCAATGCCAGTGTTCAAGTATGCAATGTTGACACCTAGATTCAGGAGACAAAAGAAGAGGACAGGTATTAAGAGAAAAAATGACAGTGCCTCCTGTCCTATCCCAGATTGCAGTTACAGACAGAGGAAGCACTTCCAATTGCCTCCACTTGTCTAGCCTCAGCCAGCTTTGTTTCAGCAGCAGCTACACTTACTCCCAAGCTTCAGGGAAAGAGCTCCTTCAGAAACGTCAGTCCTCTCAGGAATAATGAACAGTCTTTACAATATAGAAAAAAGAGGTTAAAGAGTAGTGAGAGAAAAATGATTGAGATGGAGACGGAATCAATGATCTGCTCTGATTTGGGGACCACTGAGTGTGGAGAAGAATCCTAGATCACTCATGCTGGACAGTTTACCCCGATGTTGTATCCAAAAGAAATTAGAACCCATATGCCCAATGAAAGCACATCAGAATTAAAGTCATAAGAGTAGTGACCATAGTTTTTTCACCACTAAAGTCCTAGGGCACTCATATGACTCAGTAAAGATTCATTTGCTGAATAACAAAGCGTAATTTGTAGTTTGTTTGGAGAAAACAGAAAGCAAAGGAACAATGGCGTAAAAAGGCCGCTAAAGATGGCTCAGCAGCTGGCAGTGTACATCTTTAATCCCAGCACTGAGGTAAAGGCACGCAGATCTGAGTTTGAGGCCAGCCTGGTCTACATAGTGAATTCCAGGACAACCAGGACTACAGAGAGAAACCCTGTTCAAAAACAAGCAAACAAACAGACAAACAAAAGGAGCACTGGCTACTCTTCCAGAGGACTGAGGTTTAACTTCCAGCATGTATGCGATGGCTCATGATTGTAGTAACTTCAGTTTTAAGGGATCCGACACCCTATTCTGGCCTCTGTGGGCACCAGGCATGCAAGTGGTACACAGCATCCATGTAGACAAAACATTCATGCATACTAAAAAAAGGAAAGAATTGTACATCATGACTGGAGAGAAAAAGAGAGAGGGGGATGGAAAGAAAAGGAGGAATGGAGGGAGACAGAGACAGAGAGAGAGAGAGAGAGCAAGAGCAAGAGAGCAAGCAAGAGTGCTCAGTCAGCAAAGTGCTTGTCATGGAAGGACGAGGACCTGGGCTTGATAACCTAGCACCCACATAAACAACTCAGGTTTGGTGGCATATGCTTGTAATCCTAGCAAGAGGAGGCAGATCTCTGGAGCTTGTTGGAGCAAACCTACTCCACGGGCCAATAGGAAACTCTATCTCAAAAAACAACAGTGCCTAAGGAATGACACTCAAGACCAACTTCTAGCCTCTACACATGTTCCCATATACTCATGCACCCCCGTACACAAAAAGAACTGTACACTAAAGCTGGGTGGTACATGCCTGTAATTCCAGTACTTGGGCCAGGGAGTGGCAGAAGTAGGACAGCCTTAGTTACACAGCAAGTAGAGAGCCAGCCTAAACTACACAAGACCTAAAAGTAAAGACTTAGCCATTAATTAGTAATCTCTCTTACCTGGCATACCAAGGAGGCCTCCTGGCACAGACAACTGGGGTGCCTGTGCGAAGTTTGAAAGCATGGAGCGGGCAGATGTGGGTATACCACGCTGGAGGCTGCTCTGGGGCTGTGGAGCCTGCAACATGGAGACAGTTGATGAAACCTTGCCATTACAGAAGTTCAAGTGAAAGTAGACACAGGAGTAAAAAGAGAACAGAACCATTTCCTGCAGAAGTGCAGCCCCAGGAGAAAGTAGAGTTGTGGAAAAGTTCCTCACCTGCCGAAGCGTATGATGTCTCATGATGGTCTCCTGTTTACTGACACTGGAGACAGCTGGAGCTGTAGTAGGGGAGAGTGCTGCCTGCTGCTGTAATCGCTGTTCAATTTCCTGTTGGGAATTATTAGATGAGATTGGATAAGACAGCACCTAATTTTCTAACCAGAAAACCAAGGATCTATTTCTGGAATGATAGCAGCTAGTTACAATAATGCAGAAAAGGCAAAGAGTTTGGTGGGATGGCTACCCTGAGATCTCCAAGTACAAGCAGCCAACATGTTTTATTGACTAAAAGTATTCCCTTCTCTCTAGAAAGCTGGTTCTCATGGGGATAACTGGAGGGTGGCGATGGTAATGTAATTAAAACTAACAAATCACTGAGGTCTTCTTTAATTTTTTAAAGAGATTCATTAATGCATTCATATATGCACTTAACTACTCTGTAGTGCTGGAGACTGAAACCAGAACCTCAGATATGGGAAGCAGTGCTCTATCATTAAACTAGAATCTTATTTTTGATTCTGCCTATCAATTTTCCACTAGGCTCATGATGCTGCCAAAGGATGGTTAGTGGAGTGGGAAATGGAACAGAGAAAAGGACCTGCGTATCCTGACATATCCTTCCCTTCGTAGAACTCCTAATTCTACAGTTACTGTCAAGAAGTGCTCATGCGCTTCTATCACCACTAATCTTCACTGGGATACTTCATCATCTAATCTTTCCTTTGACATTTAACTACAGATTGCATAGCTGAAAGTATGTGGCAAATTTCTTCCAACAAAATTCATTTGTCTGACAAGAAAATAAAATAGAGAACAGAGGACCTGGATGTTATGGTGCAGGCCAATAATCCCAACTCTCAAGAAGCAAAGATGAGAGGATCAATGATTCCAGGCCATGCAGAGCTCATGGTGAGACTTTCCTCGGAGCTATGGAAAAAGTCAAGCTCCAAGCCTTTCTGTGCTTTGATCTCAGTCACACATACTCGGTATTAGGTTTTCAGCCAATCAAAATCAACCAAATGATACAAAGGGGACAGAGTAATGAAAATGTTTTTATTGTTTTGCTTTTTGATACTGGATCTCACTACCTAGTCTAGGCTGGCCTGGAGCTCTGAGTTGGCTGCCTCCAGAATGCTGGAGAGATGTGCCATCACACTTTGCAAGAAGAGATGTGTTTCAATGTTGATCTGAGTTTTGCTGTTTGTTTTTGTTTTTTTTTAGACAGGGTTTCTCTGTGTAGACCAGGCTATCCTTGAACTCAGAGATATACCTGCCTCTGCTGGAATTAAAGGTGTGCGCCACCATAGCCCAGCTCTGTTTTTTGTTTGTTTGCTTGTTTTGTTTTTGAGACAGGGTCTTATCATTAGACTGTCTGTCCTGAAACTCACTAGGTAGGCCAGAATAGCCTCAAACACACAGAGATCCACCTGCCTCTACCTCTTGAGTAATGAGATTAAGGAGTGCTCCACCACACTCTGCTTTTATTTTTTTTAGAGGAACCTGGGTTTCCAGGCCCAAAACTCTATGGGAACCACCTGGGTAATAGAAGCAACAATCTTTTAGGAAAACCAAACTGATTCACATGACTGTTGGGGTAGGAATCAGAATTCTCACCTGTTCCTGCTGCAGGGCTTTAACAAAAGCGTTTTTCAGCCGGTTGGTGTGCTCAGCTTTTAGAGCTTTTTTCTGGTTGGAGGTCATACACTGCTCACAGAGGATCTTACCATTCTTTTCTTGCTTCCAATGAGGGGTGAAATCTGTGCGGCACTGGGCACAGACAAAGGGTTCGACCCTCAACAGTGAGGCACAGTTTTTGCCTAGACACCAATAATAGAATAATTAGTGGTTTCCATCTCCCACCTCTTCTGTTACTCTTCACTAAGTATCTTTCCCACAAGTTAATTCTGTTCACTTAGAGACTAATCAGTGTCAATGAAATGGCTCAGTGTGTAAAAGTGCTTCTTATTCAAGCCTAAAGGAACTGAGTTCCAGCTTTGAAACCCATGTAAACATGGAAGGAAAGAAATTACTTCACAAAGCTGTCCTCTAGCCTCCCAATGGCAACAATATGCTCCATTGTTGGCACCTCCCATTCTCTTTTCTCCCCATCAATAAAATTAAAAATATTAAAAGAAACTATACAAAAACAAAGAAACCAAAACTATTCCGGGCTAAAAATAGAATTCAGCAGTTAGTTAAGAAGCACTTTTATGCCCTTTCAGAGGAATGGAGTTCGGCTCTGTGTACCCACACAGGAGATCACAACCACCGGTAACTCCAGTTTACAGACTCTGAAGCACTATTCTGAAGTCTGAGGGAACAAGCAAATGTACACACATGAAGGCAAAAACACTCATAGAAATTAAATAAATGAAATATAAAATTTACTGTCTTATTTTGAGATAGGGTCTCACTGGGCAGTAGTGGCACATGTGTTTAATTCCAGCACTGGGAAGGCAGGGGCAGACAGATCTCTGTGAGTTCAAGGCCAGCCTGGTCTACAGAGTAAGTTCCAGGACAGCAAACATTACACAGAGAAATCCTATCTCCAAAAAAAAACGAACAACACCAATAAACCAAAAGACTAAAACAACAACAACAGAAAGAGATAGGGTCTCCCCATGTAGTTTCAGCATCCTGGAACTCTGCTTCCCTAGCACTAAGGTTAAAGGTATGTACCACCTCACATTGCCTTACTTTTTTTTTTTTTTTTCAATACAATTTAATAAATACTTTGGCTTGATAATCAGAGCAGTTGGGAGGCTAGGGAAGGAGTCCCCTGAGCTTGAGGTAAGGCTGGGCTACAGAGTAAGGCTAAGCCCTATCTGGCTACATAGTGTTACAAAAATTTCATAACAATACATTCAGAATTAAAAGGATTCACTTAACCAATGCTTTCTGTTTTTTAAATTTTGTTTTATTTATTTTTTGTTTTTTTTTTTTTTCCTTGAGACAGGGTTTCTATGTGTATTCCCTGCTGTCCTGGAACTCACTCACTCTGTGGACCAGGCCAGCTCTTCAGAGATCCACCAACCTCTGCCTCCCAAGTGTGAGCATGGGCCACCACTCTTGGAGCTCTCTCTCTACCCCCCAACCCCTCTCTTTTTCTCTCTCATTTTTCCAGACAGGGTTTCTCTGTGTAGTCCTGGCTGTCCTGGAACTCACTCTGTAGGCCAGACTGGCCTCGAACTCACAGTAATCTGCCTGCCTCTGCTCCACGAGTGTTGGGATTACAGGTGTGCACCATTATAGCCCACCCCCTCCCCCGTTTCTTAACATCACTTTATGTTGCACTTCCCTTTACATATATGTATATTTACAATACTCAACTATCAGGGTCTGAATAGTTACTTTGTGAGGATTTTTTTTTTAATAAGGTTTTACACTGTAGCTCAGGTTAGCCTTCAACTCATAACAGCACTCTTGCCTCAGTATTTCAAGTGCTATAATTACAGGCATAAGCTACCTTACCTGGCTGAAATCAAGGCACCCTGTGATCTGTGAATGTTTAGTTAGTCCTCTAGGGACTTTCTGATACTGTTTGGAAATTTAAGCTTAATAATGACTCTTGGCATCACACTGCATGGTGTAAAAGTCTGGTTCATACTGGGTTGCAACTTCCATACTTAAGTTATTTACATTAGTATATATAGTTTTTCAACTATAAACATTAAAAGGGTAGGGAATATAACCAAGCACAAAGTCACAAAACCCAGACATTTTATTCATCTAAAGAATAGGCATAGAGGTACTTTGTGAAGGCCAAGGCAAGGCAGATCTTGGGCAGACCAGCTTGGTCTACATATAGTAAGTTCCAGACTAGCCAGAATTATATGGTGAGACTGTCTCTCAACAACAAAAAAATAATAACAAAAATTAAAAAAACTAAACAAGATGTCTTCATTTTTCTGTTTCCTGACTATAGTTGTGAGGTAACCAGCTGCTTCAAGCGCCTGATATCTTTGACTCACTACTATTAATGAATTACACCCAGAAAATGTGAACCAGAATAAACTCTCAAAAATAGAACACCACAATATATACCCTCCCTCCTGCCCCTTCACTGAAACAGGGTTTCTCTGTGTAGAGTTGGCTGTCCTAGAACTCACTCTAGACCAGGCTAGCCTTGATAGATATCCAGCTGCCTCTGCCTCCCAGAGCTGGAATTAAAAATGTGCACTACCACCACACCACCCAGCCACTTTACTATTATTATTTTGGAGAGGATGTTATGTTTTCCAGGGTGATCTAGAATTGACTGTGTATCTTATCTGAGGATACCCTTGAACTTGTAATCCTCTTACCTTTACCTTCCAGATGAGCAAGTTATTCTACCAACTAAACTACATCTCTAGACTCTACTCTGTTTTTTGCTTGTTTTTAAGATTTACTTACTTTTACTTCATATGTATGGGTGCTTTGCCTGAATGTATGTACCAATTGTATACTTTGTGTGCTGGGAACTGAACCCAGGACTAACCAGTGCTCTTAACCACCGATTCAGCTCTCTAACCTTCTTTTTTTGAGATATTGTTCCCTAAAAGCTTGTATAACCAAATGATGGAAGCTGGTTTAGCAATAATAACTGAGCAGATTTAATTTATTTAGAGACAAGGTCTCATTATATAGTTCTATGTGGCCTCTACCTTGAGATCCTCCAGTCTCAGTCTCCCAAGTCCTACAGATACTTGTATGTACCTCCAGCTTTCTTTGTGAGACAGGATCTTGCTATGTTGCTCAGGCTGGCCTCAAATGCTCAGTATTCCCCCATTTGTCTCAGTGGGACAATAAGCATGTGTCACTACACCCAGCTTAGTAGTACTAAATAAAAGTTTTAAGATAGATTCTCAATCTGTACTCTGAATTGGCTTTCATTTTACTTGAACTTGGAGCAATCCTCCTGCCTCTGCCCCAAAGTGGTGGGCTTCTACGTAAGGAGCTATCAGGGATGGATTAAGAGCAGTTATTAAATACTGCACAGTTCCCTGTAATACTTGTTCTCTGCCAAGAGGCTTGGCAACTGCATGCTTAGAGACGTAACTAGAAGGAAGTGTTACCTTGGCTGTCAATGACACTCTGTACGACTTCTTCCAAGCCTACCATGTAGATAAATTCGCTATTGGCTGCACTAGGCAGGAAGTGAAGCAAGGGAGCAGGAGGTTTTGGAGGTGGTATCTCCAAGAGCGTCTTTTCCAGCTGCTTTCGAAGAGCCAATTTGGCTGCAGCCTGTGAGTTGGCAGCATCGCTCATGGCACTGGGGCTAGGAAGTGGTGAGGACACTCTGTTCACAGTCCCTGGCTGGATATGGGAGGCAAGGTTCATATAGATGGCAGAAGACGTTGTGCGCTGACAGGGAACAGAAGAGCTTGACTGCTGAAAGGGAACAATGGACAGGTGGATGCTAAATGAGAGACTAAGCCTTAATTTTAACTACTTGGTCCTAGTCAGACTGCTAAGCTTCTTCAAAACAGAAAACATTCAATTTATCACTAAGACATAATCCTGGCACATAAAAGAATGATGGCACCTGTAAGCTAAAGCTATTCAAGAAAGAAAACATCAGAGACATCAGAGATCTTTCAGTCACATACATACCTCTAGCTCCTTTTTCATACAAAGATTTGTTTTGTTTGTTTTCAAAACAGGGTTTTCTGTGGAGCCTTGGCTGTCCTGGACTCACTTTGTAGACCAGGCTGGCCTCGAACTCACACTGATCTGCCTTCCTATATTCCTGCTGGGAATATAGGCCTGCACTACCGTACCCAGCATATACACAGATTTATTTTTGAGAATTTCATACCTAAGTACTGTATTTATATCATTTCCATCCCACTTTCACCCCTAGATTAAGATCTTTCTTAAGGCAGATTTTAGCTAATTTAGCTTTCCTCTACAATAAACTACTTTTTCTACCAACTATTTTTATATAATTCCTTAAAAAGCATCCATTCTGGGGAACACTCTCTATTCAAGTCACTCTTTTGTCCTAATTTCTCTATACACAAAACCTTAAAACCTGTGGCTCTTTCAATAATAAAAGCAAACAAAGGATTTTTCTGTTTGTACAGCAGCACTTGCTCTTACTGGTTGGTAACTGATTGCAGGATTCATGTTAGGTGTTGTGGTGCGTACTATGCCAGGCTTCGGTGGCCCCCGTTGGCCCTGAAGTTGGGCTGGATTTGGTGCAATAACACGTTGAGACATCAACATGTGTGGAAGGGTTGTGTTGGTTGCTGAACGGATGACACTGTGACCCTAAAGGGAAAGGAGAAGAAAAGAAAAACAAAACCAAAAAACTCACAGATGGCATAATACCCCAGAAAACACTGCTTATAATGGACAGCAAGTAGAACCATGGGAACACACACCTGATAATTTCATTTAACAATCCAATGGGAAACTGCTACCATTACTCTAGTCAAATAGATTTTTTAGATTTACTTGTTTTGAGTATTTTCCCTGCATGTGTGTGCATACCATATGTGTGCCTTGTCTGCTGAGGTCAGAAGATGTCAGATTCCCTAGAGATGGTTTTGAGCTACCATGTGGGTGGTAGGAATAGAACTCAGGTCCTCTACAGGAACAGCAAGTGCTACCTCTGATGCATCTTTCCAGGCCCTCTATCATTACTTTAAATGCTGATTAGTGGCTAGAAAGTTCTTGCCTTTTAAAAAATGTTTCATCATTTTTTTATGCATATTGGTGTTCTGCTTACATGTATGATCTACATATGCACTATATGCATATCTGGTGCCCTTGGAGACTAGAAGAGGGTATTAAAGAAATGAGCTCTTTGTGGGTGCTAGTAATTAAATGCAGGCCATATGGATGAGCAGCCACTAAGCCATCTCCCCAGGTATGATTTTTAATTTTTAAAAAAGATTTATTATTTGTGTTTGTCTGTGTACATAAATGCATGTAATGCCATGCTAGAAGGGTGTTGGATTCCTTAGTGCTAGAATTGCAAGCCACTTAAAGTGGGTACTGCAAACTCATCTCTGGCTTTTTTTTCTTTTTCTTTTCTTTTTTTTTTTTTGAGTCCTTCCTGTCCTGGAACTTATGTAGATCAGGCTGGCCTCATAGTCAGATTCTTTACAGTCTTTACAAAAAAAGTCCCCAAATATAGACAGGACAGACAGACTTCTCCAATAGTAAAATCATGGGTCACATACCTGTAATGTTCTCAAATTCTGAGGTTCAATCCCTTGAGCCCCAGGCCGGGAGGGAAGCTTAGATAAGCCTTGCTGTCCCACATGTGCAGAAGATGGCTGAACAATAGATGCTGCATTCTGTACAACTGGAGTCTGGGAGGGGAAATAGAAAAAGAGACTGTGGGTCTAACTGTGGTGGCATGCCTTTAATCCCAGCACTCAGGAGACAAAGGCAGAAGGATCTATGAGTTTGAGGCCAGCCTGATCTACAGAGTGAGTTCCAGGACAGCCAGGGCTGCACAGAGAAACTCTGTCAAAAACAAAACAAAACAACCCCCCCCAAAAAAACAAAACAAAACACAAAACACAAACAAACAAAAAAAAACCCAAAAAAAACCTAAACTCCAAACCCCAAAACCCTGAGGTTGAATTTGGTGAAGTTCTAGGTTTCTTAAATTCCCTTGTGAGTATAAATGTGAAGTTCCTATTGCCAAGGAAGAAAGATGAGAAAAATTAAATTAAGGCTCTTTGGATTTTTTCATTCTTATTTTCTTGGTTTGTTTCTTTAAGACTAGGTCTTGTTATATACAGCCTGGGCCAACCTGGACCTCAATATGTAGACTGGGCTAGCCTCAAAAAGAGATCCACACGGCTTTGTCTCCCAACTGTTAAGATTAAAGGTCTGTATAACTATGAGAGGTTCTGTCTCTCTCTTTTCAGACAGGGTCTCACATAGCCACCTTAACTCCTTTATAAAAAAAGATTAATTTATTTTTTGTATATGATTGTTTTGTCTTCATTTATGACTGTGTCCCATGAGTACCTGGTAGCTGCTGAGGGCCCAAATAGGGCACCAGATCCCTTGGAACTGCACTAGCTTCTGCTTGTGAGCTACCACAAGTGGGTGCTGGAACAAAATGCAGTCTCTGTGCAGGAGCAGCAAGTGCGCTCTCAGCTACCTTTCCAGCTCCTTGAACCTAACACTTGATTCTAACTCGACTTTCCAAGTGCTGGTATCACAGACACACATCACCATGGCCACTTAAAAAGTTTTTCTTGATAAATGCTGAAGGTTAAAACAAAACAAACAAATAAACAAAAAGACAGAACTACTACTTTTTAACCTGTTTACTCTGTAGAGCCTAAAACAAAAACTACAGAACCAGAGAACGGTCCACAAAGCTGACTCTACCTGGAGCAGTCTCATCTCAAGCTTTTTCCTTTCTAGAAATACTACCTTTTGGACCACATTCTCTTTCTGCAGCTGACTCTGTCTCAGTTTCTTTAACAGCACCAGACGAGCTTCCTCCAGTCGTAGCTCATCTCTCAGTTGCTTGATAAGCTGCTGCCGTTCCTCAATGCCTTTCCCCTACGGAAACATGGAGGCGGTAGGTCAGCAACAGCAACAGGTACCCAGAATCCCTTCCCGTAAGAAATAAGGTTTTCTCTTCTAAAACCTTCAAATTCTTCTATAAGAAGCAGAAGAGAAGATATGACTATATCTTTGTAGCCCATGCAGAGTAGCATTCAAGAAGTACTCAAAAGTACTTGTAGACTATATATAAATGTCAATCAGTACATTCCTGGCAAAAACAGATGACTGACAAAACGGAAACTATATATATATATATATATATATATATATATATATATATATATATATTTAAATAGCCTCTAAATCTTTAAAAATCATACTTGATGCAGATATATATAAAAATAAGAATTCTTCTATATTCTGAGACTCTAGATAATGTAAAGGAAATCATCATACCCTAAGGGTTTACTTTATGTGACTTAAATTACAAAGTTTTATTTTATCTTCTAAAGATACATTATATTGAATATGACTTTATATACATGCTTAGCAAACTTTTTTTTTTTTTTTTTTTTGGCTGAACAGCTACCTCTCAAAGGGTACACTGTGAAGAATCAGTATGAGTAACTTATCAAATAGGTAGTAATTTAGATCCAAAAAGCAAATCAAAACAAAAATACAAAAACAAACCAGGGAATTAAAGAGAATGGAAGAAACATAAAAGGAAAAAAGAAAAGCAAGCAAGCAAGCAAGAAAGAAAGAGAAGAGAGAAGAAACAACTTCCTTCCTTTTTTACCTTAAACATCTCTAGGTTGGCTGCTTTGAGTCTCTCTTCCATCCGGGAGCTGGACCGGGGACTGGAAGCCTCATTATCAGACAAAACAATTATGTCTGGGGAAGGAGTTAGCCTTCCTCGGTCTGGTTCACTGGATGAAAAAATAATAATAATAATAATTATAATTATAGTATTTCCACAGTTTCCTAAAAAGTTAAGAAAATTTCTTCACTACAATGAACAAAGAAATCCAAGGGAAGTTGGGTCTATCCTGATTCAGCAAGAGATAGACAGGTCCTAGAATAAAGACACTAAGATATAAATGAGGGCAAGACCTCAGCAAAATACTTTTCTAATTTAAAATCTGTCAGGCTGTGCAGGCACAAACATATAAAGTGATGAGAAACTTTAAGAATTGAGGGATGATGGCCAGGTGTGGTGACACCTGTCTTTAATCCCAGTGTTCAGGAGGCAGAAGCAGGCGGATCTTTGTGAGTTCAAGGCCAGCCTGGTCTACAAAGAGAGTGCCAGGATAGCCAGGGCTGTTACACAGGGAAACCTCATCTTGAAAAACAAAAGACAAACAAAAAAGAATTGGGGATAAAAGGGTTGGTTCAGAGCTTAGAAGAGTTGGCTCTTCCAGAGGACACAGCATTAGTTCTCAAGACTGTTCACAATCATCTGTAATTCCAGTTTCAGGAGACCTGATGCCCTCTTTGGGTCTCCATGAGAAGCAGGCACACATGTCACCATATGACATACATGTAGGCAAAATACTCATACACATAATATGGTAGTTTTTTTTTTTTTTTAAGATAGAAAAAAAATTAAGATGGTTGCTAAAGAGAGAGCTGAAAAAAGAACACTGGCTGCTCTTCTAGAGGACGCAGGTTCAATTCCCAGCTTCCACACGGCGGCTTACAACTGTAACTCCAGACCCAGGGGGTATGATATTCTCTTCTGGCCACCACTATACATACATGGTACACAGACATCCATGAAAGCAAAACACCCACACATGTACAAATACCTATTAAAAAAAGAGATATTCAGTGTGGTGGCTCACACCTTTAGTCTAGCACTCAAGGTCAGTCTAGTCTACACAGAGTGTTCCAGGCCAGCCAGGGCCACCTAATGAGTTCTGTCTTAAAATAAAATAAAAACCTGAGGTAAGTGCTCTAATAACACATTTTACTTCTAACCTTTCCCTATATCACAACACTGAGCGCTTATTAGGGTGAACCAGTAGAATCTAGTCCTCTCTTTTGAGTACTACTGACGGACATGAGGGAAGCAGCTCACTCTCACACTAATGACATGGTTCTGGTTACATGAGTGGTTTCTGTCAAGAGGAAGTTATAAAGAGGAGACAAAAGGAGGTGTGAACAATGGCTTGAGGAAACTAACAGTATTAACTCTAAAGCATACAGCCTCCTGGAGAAAGACTAAGCCACAGACACACTAGATACTAGCTAGTATCTAGTACCTTCTCTGAAATTTATCCAGAACTACTTTGATCTAAAATCCTTCACATGAACTTTTCTTACTTCCAAATCTATTCATTTGATAACCCTTGTTTTTATTTCTACAACCCTGTTTAAGATTTATTTGTTACATATATAATGTCCTATCTGCATGTACAACTGCACGCCAGAAGAGGGCACCAGATCTCATTATAGATGGTTGTGAGCCACCATGTGGTTGCTGGGAATTGAACTCAGGACCTCTGGAAGAGCAGCCTGTGTTCTTAACCTCTGAGACATTTTTCTAACACCTCTGCAGCCCTGTTTTAAAATTCTGCAAAATTTTATATATTCTACTGGATACAAAGGATCCTGAAAATTCTAATTTCCTTAGATTCTCAAATCAACAAATATATCCTCCCACCTCTCCTGATTTTTAAATGTTTTTTTGTAAGCCAGGCTCTCATGCAATTGGCTAGCCTCAAAATCCTGATCTCCCTGCTTCTACTTCCCATGCACAATGATCTTAAGAATGGAACACCATGCCTGGCTAAAGTTATTTTTTTCCCCTTTCTTTTGTAGTAAAATGGCTAGAACTCAAGGCCTCACAGATACACAAACATGCCTTCTATCGCTGAGCTACAGCTACAGCTTTTGAGACAGAATAGCTGGGAGTATATAAGTCTAAGTTAGGTTGATATGCTTGTAGAGTTTTCTGTTCTGTTTTTCAAGACAGGGTTTCTCTGTGTAGCTTTGACTTGCTCTGTAGACCAGGCTGGCCTCGAACTCAGAGATCCACCTGCCTCTCCCTCCCTGAGTGTTGGGATTGCAGGCATGTGCCACCATGTGCTTATAGGTTTTAAAAGGTGGAACTTAAAACTGTAACACCCTATGCACTATTTTCTCAAGGTTTTTATTTTCTTTTTTTTTGCCTGTGTTTTTGTTTTTTGTCTTGGGTCCTTTTGGGACACAAATGTATTTGTATGTTATTGGGAATCAACCTAGGACCCTATGCATGCTAGGTAGTCTACTACTGAGCAACATTTCTAGCCCCAAGAAACCTTTTTATGTTTTTAATTTTTATTAATTTAGTGTCTATACAGTCATGTACATATGTGCTAGGGTGCAGACGTGGCTGTTAAGGACAAATTTGTGGAGTCAGGTCTCTCCTTCCAATATGTGAGGTTCCAGGAATTATAAACTTAGGTCATCAGCCTTGGTGGCAAGTGCCTTTACCCACTGGGCCATCTTGCTGGCCCCTGTGGCCCAGACAAACGTTGAACTCACTGCAAACACCTGCTGCTTCCATTTCCCAAGTGCTGGAACTATAACATGGAGCACCACCACTCTTGGTTTCACCTAAAGAAGGCTTTTAAAGAAGGTATCCCTGAGTGACCTAAGCCTTTACTTTCTCAACAGGGTAAAATCTGAGTTCCTGCTAAGTTTAGCTGAGAAAACAGAACAGCAGGGGAGGAGAATGACTGCTTTGTGGACTATGTATTTGAACTGTACTACAGCCACAAGTCAGACAGCAAGTTGAAAATATGGAGTTCCAGAAAAAAAAAAAAAAAAAAAAAAACCCACAAAAATAAAAAAGAGCTTTCTGCTCTTAAGACCAAATAACCTTAGTACCTGATTTTAAATATGTTCATCTTTTACTTGTCATCTCTATGTTCCTTTATCCTCTCATACTAGGTAAGCAATTCTGAGGCTTGAAAATCCCCCCACTGATTCACCAGTGTTTTTTTGTTTGTTTTTGTTTTTTAAATCACCAATTAGCAGCTTTGTGAAATTCTGGTCCTGGCTAGGTAGGCATATTCTGTAAAAAAGATTGTTTTTTTTAAGGTAAAACATTCTTCCCTAAACTTCTATTGTTGAGACTGCTCAGTACCAGGATGGGCAGAGATATTCCTGAATGAATAGTTTAAAATTGTGTAACATTATCATAACTTACACTACCAAACAACAATAAACTATTTTATACTTAGATACAACCAGGTATATATTAGATAGATGGCACAGAAAGGCAAAGCCCATGTCAAGTCTTGATCCCAGTTTGTTTATTTTGGTTTTCTGAGACAGGATTTCTCTGTGTAGCCCTGGCTGTCTTGAAACTCACTCTGTAGATCAGGCTGGTCTCAAAGTAAAAGGTCTGTTTTACTTTGCCTCCCAGGTGCTGAAACTTTAGACATGTGTCACTATGCCTGAAATCCAACATTTTCTAAAGCACTATCCGAGGCTTCTAAGTAGTAAACTTTCACCAGTTAAGAGATTATTAAAAGCTGAATACCAAACTGGGCATGGTGGCACACACCTGTAATCGCAGCACTCAGGAAGGCAAAGGCAGGCAGATTACTGTGAGTTTGAGGCCAGCCTGGTCTATAAAGCAAATCCAGGACAGCCAGGGCTACACAGAGAAACCCTGTCTCAAAAAACAAAAACAAACAAACAAAAAAAAAAAACAGTAACTGAATACCAATTATGCTTCAACCTGGCATATTCCTGGAAGCTATAAAGCTTCTAATTTTGTTTTGTGTTAGTTTTTGCTTGTTTTTTATAGCCCTGGCTGGCCTTAAACACGCACCACCTGGCTTAAAGCTCCCAATTCTTATCCCAGCATTAAAACAAAGAAGTTGGGGGCTGGAGTGATGGCTCAGTGGTTAAGAGCACGGGCTGCTTCTTCCAAAGGACCCGGGTTCAATTCCCAGCATCCACATGGCAGCTCACAATTGTCTATACCTCCCAATTCTAAGGGATCTGACACCGTCACACTAATGCACATAAAATTAAATAAATTATTAAAAAACAACAACAAAGAAGTCTGCCTGGGTGTGATACAGATCTGGAAAATCCCAGGGCAGCAGCAAATGGATAACCACAGATTCAAGTCCCACCACAAACTACTAGAGGAAAAAAAAAGTTGTTTCTCTACCATTCTAAAACAGTAGTTGTACTAGTTTCACTCTACTTAATATTTAATAAATAACATGTTATTTCACAGATAGCAGAATTCACCCCATTAGTGGTTATTTAAGCAACAAAGACAGGACGCATGTTACAAATTCCACTTTCCATATTTTTCCTTTTATTCTTTTGTTTTCTTTTAAAGATTTTATGTGCATGAGTGTTGCCTACATACATACATACATACTCACTACCCATGGCTGGAACCCTCAGAGAAGAGAAGGAATTGAATCTCTGGGAACTGGAGCTATAGATGGTTGTGAGCTACAAATGGTATGGGTGCTGGAAACTCAACCCAGATCCTCTGCAAGGGCAACAAGTACTTTTTATTCAAAGAAACCATGCTTCTCCTTAGTTCATTCTTACAGAACAGCTTGTGGCAAATTGGAAAGAGATGCCATTATATTCAATGCTCATTATCCATAAATACACCTTACACATGTTAAGTAGGCACTGTTTTTTCAATGCCTAATCCCATATTCTGATTTTTGAATAAATATAATTAATCAGCATTGCCAGCTTGTGGAACTGGTGCAACAGTGTGCCTATGAAGAACATATTTAAAGAGCTTCACTTTGGGACATGAAAAATCTATCTGTATTTCATTCACTTGCTCTAGAAGAATGGATGATTGTGGGGCAAATGGGCTGCTCAGGCACCTGTTTTCATCCATCCACATTCATCCCTCCTGAAGAATATAAAGTAGATCCACTCATACAACATTTCTCCAAGTCTACCTGTAGCTTCCAAGGACGTTTCTTGGGGGAATTTATTTTAGGTTTTTACAACAGTTTTTAAATGTTATTACCAAGAGTAACTACTCTATGGTTTTTGTTTGTTCTTTTTGTTTGTTTGTTTGTTTGTTTGTTCTTTTTTTTTTTTTTTTGCTTGTGTTTTTGAGTTCTGGGACAACACTAATCAAGACTGAGAAACAAACACACTGTAACTATTCCTTCCTTCTTCCCCTTCCTCCATTAGTCTAGTTTGTTAAAGATTAGTGCTAGGAAAAAGTCAGCAAGGTCAAATAAAGAGCATATGAAAAATGAGTAATTCTCACTTTTATCAGCTGTTTCTGAACTATAAACTTAGTCCTTAAAACTAGGGCTGTCTATACTGTGATTCAACTACCAGGCAGATTTAAGCCTCAATTAGCTCTAGGTTCCTTTCTTCAGTTTATACTTTGACAGACACCAGAAAAGGAACCTGTAAACGTGCGTGCAGCGTTCTTGTGTGTGTGCAGGGCAGTGGTAGCACATGCCTTTAATCCCAGCACTCGGGAGGCAGAGGCAGGTGGATCTCTGTGAGTTCAAGGCCAGTCTGGACTATAAAGAGCTCCAGGACAGCCATGGGGCTACATCAAGAAACCCTGTTTTGAAAAACCAAAAAAAAAGAAAAGAAAAAAGAAAAGTGTGTAAGAGAAAGAGACGGAAAGACAGAAAGACTAGGAATGAGCATATGTGTACAAAGGAACCTGTATGTAGGGGTTGAGAAAAGTGGTACCAATAGGGCAAGAATGTAGAGACCACATGTGCTAATTTTCCTGTGACACAAAGAAGCCAGGTCTGACTTTTTTTTTTTTTTAATGTAATAGAATCTGAGATCTATAATACACAAATCTTAAATCCCTGGAATATGAGGAAAGCTTTGTGTGGTTTCTCTGTGTAGCCCTGACTGTCCTAGAACTTGCTCTGTAGACCAAGCTGTGCTTGAACCTCAGAGATCCACCTGCCTTTGCCTCCCCAGTGCTGGAATCAAAGGTATGAGACACCACCGCTGGCCAGCTGATGCAAATTTCTTTGCTTTAATCCTATAGCCATCTTGTGGGGGGAGAGGGGAAGCAGGATAATACATACTAATTGGGCTAGGATCAGAAATAATCTTTCGTTTGTTTTTTTTTTTTTTTTCCCAGAGCTGAGGACCAAACCCAGGACCTTAGGCTTGCTAGGCAAGCGCTCTACCACTGAGCTAAATCCCCAACCCTTGGGGTTTGTTTTTTAAAAAGAAAAAAAAAAAAAAAAAAAAAAGATGTCTGCAGAGATGGCCACAGATACAAGAGGGTGCTGGATCTCTTGGAGTTGGAATTATAGGTGGCTATGTACCATTTGATGTGGGAGTTAGGATTTGATCTCCAGATGTCATGACTGAGCAGCAAACACTATTAGTTACTTTGTCACCTCTTTGGCCCCCAGAAATAATCATTATATCTTAAGTAAGAACTATGATTTTTATGAGCTTCATCTGGAAATAAGAGGAACTCATGGCTACAGGACACAGTTCTTCTTCCAAGAAGCTTTAGGACACCATCATGTGGTAGTTCACACATGTTATCCCAGCACTAATATGTTGAGGCAAGAGGACTGCCACAAGTTCAAGACCAGTATGGCTATAATGTGAGACCCTGCTGCAAAACAACAAAATTAAAAAAACAAAAACAAAACAAAACACCAAAAAACAGCTTTACGAGGAAAAGCACCTTCCTCTCACTGAAATTTGTCCCATTTTTACAGCTTTTTTGAAGAAGACTGTGCCTGGAGATGGCTAAGCTGCTCCATACCTCCGTCTTGCACTCATATCCACAGGCTCGTCATTGATGTTTTCTTTGCCTGGCCTTCCAGCAGTCCTATTGTCTCCATGAGGCCTGAGATTTCCATTGAGTTTCTCTTCATAACCCTTGACACCACTCCCATCTTGTTTACTAGGTAACTCATGGGGCACCTCAAGATTTGCCAAATCTTTCCTTTTGAGAAGTGCCAACATTTTCAGACGTTCCATGGCCTCATGACCCTCCATTTTGAGTCGTTTTGCCAGGACATCATCTCGCTCATCTGCTGGGTCCAAACTTCTCTTCAAAAGATTCAGGCGAAGAGCATCTTCTGTCATTCTATCCATCCTATAGAAAGAAACACACGGGAAAGATCAGAATAAAGTTCCTTATGTAGGAATGTGAAGTGCTAAGGTAAAGAAAAAAATAATTCATGTAACAAACATTCAAAAGTCACAGATAACAGAGCTAACTTCCAATGCTATTATTGTCCTACAACATCTATACTAAGTATTTCTCTAGTCAACTTCATCAATGAAAACAAACTTCCAATACACTCTAGTCACCAAGGCCTTTAATTATAAAAGGTACCTGAAATCAAACACTACACTCATGTGGATAGTTATTTAAAAACAACCAACAAAGCTGGGCATGGTGGTACACACCTGTAATCCCAGAACTCGGGGAGGCACAGGCAGGCAGATCTCCACGAGTTTGAGGCCAGCCTGGTCTACAAATGGAGTCCAAAACAGCCAAGGTTACACAGAGAAACCCTGTTTTGAAGAAAGAAAAGAAAAACAAACAAAGAAAACCAACCAAATAACCAACCAACAAAACCCAACAAACAACAACAAAAACATTCAAGCTAGGGATGATAGAGATTGCTGATAATCCCAGCACTTGGGAATCTGAGTCAGGAGGATCTAGAATTTAAGGCCAACCTGAGCTATGGTGCCAGATCCTGTATATAAACAAACAAACAAACAAACAAACAAACAAACAAACAAACAAACAAACAGGGGCTGGAGACGTGATTAAAAGTACTTGCTGCAAAAAGGAAAAAAAAAAGTACTTGCTGCTCTTGCAGAAGACTGGGGTTTAGGTACAGCTCCCAGAACACACATGGCAATTTACAAGCATCAGTAAAACTCCAGTTCCAAGGAATCCAGAGCCTTCTCTGGTCTCTGTAGGCTGAATCAGGCACATATTCAGAGTGTGAGTGTGTGTGTGTGTGTGTGTGTGTGTGTGTGTGTGTGTGTGTGTGTG